TTAGTTCTCCTGGAAGAGGAAATGTGACCTTAGGATTACTCCCTTGGGAGATGATACTTCAATTCAAATTGGGATTCACAGAGTAATTGCAGCCTGTGGTAATGCATCTTCAATGTCTTAAAATGGCTGTCAGACAGCAGAGCTTTCCCCTGGAGAAAGGCAGTATTCACTAGGAGATGTCTTTTGTCTCTTCCAAACCACTAAAGCAGCCTCTGAACAATGAACAAAGAAACACAATATATGGTATGTTCTGGAGTGATTTCAAAATTATCTGAGAACAAATATATTCTCATTAATTTTAAATGGTGCTACAAATAAAAAAATAAATAGAATAATATCTGTGAAGACTACATTTGCATTAATTTTTGTACTTCTGTAGTGAATATGAAATTTGTACTTGGAGCTCTTAATGTATAAGAAAGTAACTGAACAAACTTTTTCTGACATGGGTCATTAAATCCATTGTATCTGAACTCATTACAAAAAAACATGTAAAGAAGAAAAATATATCACCATTTTTTTCTACCCCATGTAGGTAAATAGTGACAGCAAACAGTGAGGTATTTATTTGTGATTGCACAAATTGAGCCATTGACTTTCTCAAATATCCAGTGAATGGAGGCTGATAACTAGAATATACTTAGAACTCACGAAAATCAGCAAGAAAAAATCAAATAACCCTATTAAAAAGTGGGCAAAGGACTTGAACAGAAACTTTTCTAAAGAAGACAGAAGAATGGCCAACAAACATATGAAAAAATGCTCATCATCTCTAATCATCAGGGAAATGCAAATCAAAACTACAATGAGATATGACTTAACTCCAGTGAGAATGGTCTTTATCAAAAAGTCTCCAAATAACAAATGCTGGCGTGGATGCGGAGAGAGAGGAACACTCCTACACTGCTGGTGGGACTGCAAACTAGTTCAACCTCTGTGGAAAGCAATATGGAGATATCTTAAAGCGATACAAGTGAATCTACCATTTGATCCAGCAATCCCATTGCTGGGCATCTACCCAAATGATCCAATGACACTCTACAAAAAAGACACCTGCACTCGAATGTTTATAGCAGAACAATTCATAATTGCAAGGCTGTGGAAACAGCCCAAGTGCCCATCAATCCAAGAATGGATTAATAAAATGTGGTATATGTATACCATGGAGTACTATTTAGCTGTAAGAAACAATGGTGATATAACATATCTTATATTTTCCTGGTTAGAGCTGAAACCCATACTACTAAGTGAAGTATCCCAGGAATGGAAAAACAAGCACCACATATATTCACCAGCAAACTGTTATTAACTGAGTAGCACCTAAGTGGACACATAGGTACTACAGTAATAGGGTATTGGGCAGGGGGGAGGGGGGAGGGGAGCGGGTATATACATACATCATGAGTGAGATGTGCACCATCTGGGGGATGGTCATGCTGGAAACTCAGACTTGTGGGGGGAGGGGGGAAAGGGCATTTATTGAAACCTTAAAATCTGTACCCCCATAATATGCCGAAATAAAATAGAGTTGAATAATAATAAAAAAACAAAACAAAAAAACCCATTTTTGTTTTGTTAGAATTTGGACAGCAAATAATAAGATCTGATAAAAAAATAAAAGTCCCTGGAAGAGCCCTCCATTTATACTGAGGGTTGTAAAGCACAGAAAAATGTTACGATGGAGTAGACTGGGGTGGGCGGAAGATCAAACCATACCTAAAAGGGAAGAGGCTGCATGGACAGTGCAGAGGTGTACACATTTCTTTTTCACGTCCAGAACTGATGGATGATAGACTGCCCAGCAAGGGTTGGGGGCAGTTGACTGATGGTTAAGATGAGAAAGCCTGGCTGTTAAGGTGATTATGAAAGTAGCAAGCCCAGAAGGAAAGACAAAAGCCAGGTTAGGGAAGCAAGTGAGAAGGCTGTGGGTCACGGGAGAACGGATTTTAAGTCAAATTGGAAGAACAAGAAAATAAATGACAGACAGGTAGCAAGCTTGGGTGATCAAGAAGATGGGACAGTATGAGGAGGAACAAGATGTGCTGTAGGTTGATCCGATCAGTTGAGAAACTAAATCTACAAATGCTGTGAGGCAGCTAGGCAGTTGATTTAGAGATTCTTGAACACAACAGTGGTTGCGTTCTTGGCATCAAGAACAAAATAGCAAGGTTTTCAGCCAGATGGGTTGTCCAGAGTCCATGGAAGGTAGACACTGAGAAACCTATAGATGCTGTGGCAACACGCTGGTGCCAGCCAAGCAGTGTCAACGGCAGCACAGCTACAGAAGTGGAGGAATAGGTCAGATTTATTTAAAAAAACTATGCAAAGAGCACTAATCATGTGGTGCGTACAATAGATGGCTTAAAATGAAATGTCAGGGCTGATTTTTGCCCCCAGGGATCTGAAAATCTGGGAGAGTTACCACGAGCAGCCACCCCTTCCCCAATCAAGCCAAACTAAGCAAACAAGACCTCTCACAATGCTGCTGTTATGTATCGTTCCATTTCCTCTGCTTTATGACAGGTGGGCTTCAGCCCCCGTCAGCTTGACCTGGAGGCTGGCATGTGGCCAGGCTTGCAGCAGTTCTGAGAGATGTGATTGCTGAGTGGACAGGAAATAGGCTGAGATATTTTTCTGACATCCTTCCTAATTTATCTTCTAGGTACTGGGTGCTGAGGAGCACAGTATTTCTGGAACTCTCTCCTTAGCCACAGCAAGCATTAAACTCAAGATGAAATTGTAGGGCAGGTTTTTAGTGTGGTATTCTTGGTAGAGGAAAAAGGGATTGATTTGCTAGAGAGGTATGAGTTCTTCTCTTTGAAGGAATCCAGTTTAAACGTAAGGATACATATAATTTGAGAAGCCCTTCCTGGCATCGATGTGAAGGCAACTGTCTTTGAAGCAGCCCCTCCATAGTGTTCCTAAGTCTTCACGAGTGACTTGGAAATACAAGCTGGCAGGCAAGAGGCCTGTATTCTTGTTCAGATTTTTTCCTGTCTGGCTTTAGGCACATCATCCAGTCTCTCAGTGCTTGGGCTCTTCCATGGTTTGAATGTGCCCCCCAAAGTCCATGTATTGAAAACTTTACTTCCAATGCAACAGTGATGGGATGTGGGGGTCTATAAGAGGTGATTAGGTCATGAGGGCTCTGTCCTCCTGAATGGATACATGTCATTATTGTGGGAGTGGACTTATTATAAAAGTGAGCTCCACAATTTTTTGTGCACATTCTCTCTCTATCTCTCTCCCACACTCCATACACCTCCACCCCATCTCTTGCTCTTCTGTCTCCCATGATGGGATGATACATCAAGAAGGTCCTCACCAGATGCCAGCTCCTCAACCTTGCACTCTGTAGCCCCCAGAACTGTAAGAAATAATTTTTTTTCCTTTATAATTACCTAGTCTGCGGTATTCTGTTATAGGATCACAAAATGGATTAAGACAAACTCCTAGTCTGTAGCTGTATTCTGGGATCAAACATATGTATAATTGTTCTTGAGCTGGCAAACTTTCAGCTGAATAAACCAGTCTCATCATGGGCCTGTTAAGGCTGAATCTAAAGTCACTGTCCTCCTCTCCACTTTGTTGTTCCCACCTTGTTCGTCTTGTTCATTCATATTCTCTCTCTTTTACTCACAGGAAAAAGGCAGACATCTTCTTGAAACCATAAGACATGATGATGAGAAGCAGCCTAATGTTTTTCAGAAGGGATATGAGAGTCAGGAAAAATGTGCTCTTTCAAAATTTAAAAAATTGACTTAAAAATAAACACAGGCAATGTCATAGAAGTTAGATGAATGCACACGATAATCCTCATAAAATGGAGGGTGTCACGTTTTAGTTACCCGCCAAGGTTACCCGTCAGGTGGAGCATCAGGGATGAGTGACGGGGAAACTCTTGGGCTCTATGGGATATTTCTTTCTGTGTATCTTGACTATCCCTGGCAGATCTTATTCCCAGTAAGAAACACACACTGAAGACAGAGGGCCAGCAACTGAAAGCTAATTCCAAAATGAAATCTTATCATTCTGCTCAAGGCAGAGATGGCATCGGTTGCTTTAGTCAGGAAGCAATCTGGGTTAATAATTAAAAACTAAGAAGAAAAACTGTATTGTTCAGTATTAACCCTGGCCTATTTGAGTTTTGTTTGTTTGGTATTTGGCTACACACAGATTTAGCTTAAGACAATACCTGGAGTAAATCAAGAAGGCCCATAAAATATGTACACTGCTGTGTTTATCATGTTGAGCTCTTAGTGGTTTCAGAGAAGATAGGTACTATAAGTCAGACTCTGCCTGGAATAGCTAATGTCATGCTGTGTTTCAGAGTACAGCATTTTATTTTATTAAAGTCCAAACATTAAAAATGTACAGCCAGCCTCTGAATGTTTTTTAGAAATCAATTCCTTTTCTCTCCATATTAGAATTTTTAAGAGAATAAAAATACTTCCATTTTTACATAAATATAGGCATGAGGAGGACATGTTAAATCTAAATCTACTGCTGAGTACGAGAAACTGGGGCACAAACTCTAAGAGACAATACCATATTTGGGGTCATAAACAATGACAACTAATTGTTATACCCCACCTTCCCTACAAGCTCCAGCACTGTGACTTCCTTCTGCAGCATATTAAAAGTGTAGAAATTCTAGATTTTTCTAAGCATCAACAGTATGAAGTGACTTGTGAAGATCATAAGAGAAGTGTCAGAAGAGATGTAGAGGGGCAGAGAAAGTGCAAGGAAACACGAGGTCTCTCTTGGAAGATTTTCCAGGGAAATCTTGCTGTGGGGACTGATCCACCTAATTCAGGGTTTTTGTTAGGGTCTCTGTCTGTCTTTTTCTCATACTCTACATATACAATCCATCAGAAAAGAGTGTAGATTCTGCTTATAAAATAGACCTCAAATTCGACAGTATCTCACTGTCTTTTTAGCTCCATCACTTCTCACATGCACAGCTGCAATAGCATCTTACTGTCTTTCTATTTCCACAGTGGTCCACAGTGTCTGTTCTCCACATGACAGCCAGGTCCTGAGTTGAAGATCAGGTCACATCAGTTCCCTCACTGAAGCTTCCCAAGGCCTTCCAACTACTCTTAAGGTAAAAGTCCAACTCCTTACCATGGGCCATGAGACCTGTGTTGGGTAGACTTCTAAGACATTCCCCAGTGAGCCCTGCCTCCTTTTATTCATGTTCCTGTGAAATTCCCTCTTGTAGTACGTGAGCTAGACCTTGACATTTGCTCTAACAAGTAACATAAGGAAGAAGTGATGGCATCTCACTTCTGTAACTAGTTACAAAAGACCATGACTTCCATCTTGCAAGAGACTTTTTGCTTCTCGGTTTGCTCATGTATATGAAGTAAACTGCCATGTTGGGGAGGTCCACAAGACAAGGGACTGAGGGTGGCCTTCAGCCAACAACCAGAGAGGAACTGAAGCCCTCAGGCGAATAGACCAGAAGAACTTGTATGTGGTCAACAACCACATGAAGGAGGTTGGAAGTAGATCCTCTGGAGCTGAGTTGAGCCCTCAGATGACCACAACCTTGGCCATTACCCTGATTGCAGGGACAGAGAGAGAGGTGAGGGTAAAAAATGAGAAGCATGGAGGCAGTGGATCCACTGCCTGGGAGTTTCTGAAGCAGAGATCCAGCCCAGCTGCACTGGATTTCTGACATACAGCCACTGTAGTAGGATAATTAATTCTGTTTCAAGTCATTAAATCTTGGGGTAATTTGTTACCCCAAGCAGTAGGTAACTAATACATAGCCCTACAGGGTCAGGCCCTTGGCTACTTCTCAGATATTACCTCCCTTCACTCTCCTCTTGCTACTTTTCTCTATCAACCCTGCTCTTATTTTTCCTTCTTGGACACACCAAACTTGTTCCCTGGACTTGACGCTTGCTGTTTGGAGTGTGCTTGGAATGCGCTTACCCTAGACCTTCACAAAAGATTTTGTGCAAAGCTATTTTTGGAGTAGCAAACATGGGGCATGTGAAAGACTGTGAAAAGAGAGGATGTGAGATTTCTGTCATTCAGTGGGTGCCATCTAGTCCAGTGCTGTCACAGAGCACTCTCTGTGATGATGGGAATGTTCTGATCTGTGCTGCCCAATGAAGGAACTATGAACCTACATGGATACTGAGCCCTTGAAATATGGCTAGTGTGACTGGGGAAATAAATTTTAAATTTTATTTTGTTAATTTAAAGTTAGTAGCTCTTAAATATTCTTAAAGATGTAGTTCCTCTTTGGCACTATGATTTTACCTACACAGTCTCCCACATGAAAGGTAAAGGCATACTAGGGTGGCACAGCCATGCAGGTGGGTATACTGCATAGATAGCTTATCTACATCCTCTGTATACTCACCGTAGATTTACATCTGAAATGCAAATAAAAAATTGCATAGAACTAAAAAGATGCCATGGAATACCTTTCCTCAGCACTAATTATGTGCCTTGCTATAATAATGACAATTTTTTTATGTATGTGTTTCATTTTTTAATATCCTCTTTTCCTTCTTTTTTTTTCCTGTTTTTCATTCCCATCTCAGTGGCTTTGAAAGGAAGCCAAAAGGCAAAAGTAAACAAAAAGTTGGTTCTCAGTAATTCTGCCACCTCTAGTACCAGTGTTGATTATCATCTAAGAATATCTCTTTTGATGATTCTGAACACGAAATAATCCAGTTGGTTGACATTTTCTTTGGGTCTATAGTGTCTCTCTTGTCATCTGGAATTTAAGCCTCTGAGCTTCCATATTTCTTCCCCTCTCTTCTGAATTATTATCCCTTTCACCTCCACAGAGAGAATCTGATCTCTCTTTTAATAAGCAGTGAATGCAATGAAATATCAACTGTCTCAGCTGCTGTTTATAATCAAGGGACCTCCCCTCAGCCCAGGTCCTGGTTTCTTAAAGAACCACCATGCCTATTTTTTCTTTCTTTGATGAAAATGTTAAAGGACATGATTATTTTCCTGGATGATAATAATAATGACTCAAGAAAATCTTACATATGTGTCAGATTTTCCTTAACACACTAAGCCTCTGCATCTGTGAAAGCTTATGCATTGCACAGGACTTGAGATGAGAAGACCCAGGTTAAATTGATGCTGTGCTAGATGTTTGTATGTGACCTTGAGAGAACTGCTGAACATCCCTGCTTTGCTTCCCTTCTCTCACAGGCGAAACAACGATGATATAATAATATGCATGTCTCAGGGTTGCTGTGTGAACCCGATAGAGTCCCTTATATGAAAGCACTTCACACACACAGGAGGTTGATGTGAGATTCCATTAAACAAAATTTGGAAGCTCATTCTAGTTTTAGGACCTGGCTTTGAACTTCTTCTCCCTTGGAATGTTAATCAACTCCTCCTCTGTTACCTGCCCCTGTCGCCTTACAAACGGGCCTCACCTTCAGAGAGGACTTCCCTGTTCACACCCTGTCTGTATCAAATTACCTGACTTTAAGTATAGCTGAAATGATCAGATCCATTTATTAATTTCTTTGTATATGAGCTTCCCCTGTCGCCACACTTATGAAGATGTAAATCTTTTAAGGCCACTATTTTCTTTACTTCTCTATCTGCAGTGCCAGGAATGTTGTCAGCACATAGTAAATGCTTGATAAATAATTGTTGACCGATGAAACCCTGGGGACGCTCAGATTAGTCTGAAGCCAGCTGCCTTTTCCATAACAGGTCATATTTACTGAATTTATGAACCTTTCCACTTAGTATCAATTATAACAGCTTGGCTGCTATGGAAGCTGTTTAATATATTTCCTTCTAGACTCATTATGGGTGGCTGTGGGAAATACAGTCGTTTGTCACCCTGAATCCAGGTTAAATATTTTGGCAAAGAGTTCTGCAGTTCGCCACAAGGCTCTGCTAAATTCCTCCTGGGTGTCATTGGAGTCTGTACTTTAAGATGGATCTGGATACATTTTTACATCCAAAGAAGAAACCTAGACTTTTATTAGTATCTATACACTACACTTTTATAACATAACACTCAGAGGTGTTATTTAGCTGCACACTGTGTAAAATTCATAAAGTAAGTTTGGATTTCATTTAACTAATAATTAAATATTTTTATGATGTGACTCTTGCTGGCATGAGTTGTAAAACCGTTCCCTAAGCAAAAATTTCTGAAAGTTTTCTTTTGCCATTTGCTAGTGTACCAGCCAGGAGACTTTTTGCTGAGAAGGGCACCCAGCTTTTCCAGACTCTGGGAAACCCAGCGATTTCTTGGTGCCCCTAATGTGTCAGTATGTTAGAAAGTATCTCCAACTTGCTGCTTAAAATGTCAAGCCTGCAAGAGAAAAGGTGCTCAAAGTAACAGTGAATTCAATAGCAGAATAATTACTAGAATTGATCCTCCTCGTTTGGGGCCAGACTACTGACATCAAGGCATTAACTGCTGAATTCAAAGAGTTTCCTTGCCAGAAGATATTTGTTATTCTTAGAGGACCTGGAAGCTGTACAAATTCCTCTAAGTCACATGTCACATATGTTTCAGGGAGAAACATTTCCAAGGATTTCCTTGTACTCTAAGGATTTGCAGGGGGAAGTCACAAACTTTGCTATACATAAATTAGCTGACAGTGTTAATTACATTGCTTCAGAAGTTCATATTTTGGGGCCCTCTGATGGTTAATTCATTAACCACAATGTTAAATACAAATCAAAAAGCTTTTCTTCTGGCCACATGTCTGCAAATGACAATAGCATCCTCACTGCAGGCACATCTATTTTGAATTCCTTTGTTTAAGAAGAATTAAACCGGAGGGGCTATTTTTTTAAAGTGCTTTTTATGACATATTTATAACAACTGTTATAACAATTGAACGAAAATTTTCTTGGTAAATGATATCATCAGCTAATCAAAAATCTTTAGATATAGGATAAAGATTGCCCTGAATTCAAAGTTACACTGATTATGAACCTAAAACTCACCAATTTTACATATATAATTTAAATATTATATGTTATATATAATGATCTATAATATTATATGTTATATATAATGATCTATAATATTATATGTTATATATAATATTTTATATAATGGTATCATATATAATAAATTATATATGTTGTATGTATAATGAAAAAACTCATTTTCTCTAAGGCTCAGTTTTTTGTTTTGTAAATGGGGGAAGGGAGGTGAGGAGTGACACATGATTTTTTTTTTTTTTAAACAAAGTTTCGCTTTGTTGCCCAGGCTAGAGTGAGTACCCTGGCGTCAGCCTAGCTCACAGCAACCTCAAACTCCTGGGCTCAAGCAATCCTCCTGCCTCAGCCTCCCGAGTAGCTGGGACTACAGGCATGCGCCACCATGCCTGGCTAATTTTTTCTATATATATTAGTTGGCCAATTAATTTCTTTCTATTTATCGTAGAAACGGAGTCTCGCTCTTGCTCAGGCTGGTTTTGAACTCCTGACCCCAAGCAATCGGCCCGCCTCAGCCTCCCAGAGTGTTAGGATTACAGGCGTGAGCCACCACGCCCGGCCGACACATGATTTTTAATGTAAGAGATCCTATTAACATTTGCCGTGTAGTGAGAAACTCAGACTGTGAGTAGGGCATGCACATGTGTCAGACAAAGGCCTGGAGTCATGCTCACCCTCTCAGAAGCACATGAGGCTAATGCAAGCTTCTTTCTGCATAGGCTGTCTCGAGATATTTTGGGCACTAGATTAACTAAACTTGTAGGTGGTCTGCATGGCGAGGTTTGCTTGTTAGGGAAAAGTTATTGAGAAATATACTCTTTAATTAAGAGAGAAGAGCAAAAGAAGGAGTACTGGCTCTGTTGATGGTGGGCCCACTGACACCCTTCCTGCCTACCTTGCAATCCTCACCCTCAGAAATACTTACTGCATATGGGAGGCTGGCAAGTTTAATTACAGGAAAACTAATTGATTTGCATGTTACCTAAAAAAGAAGTGTGTGACTTCAAGACAGCCTTTATTAACTTAGCCCTAATCTGTTATCACATGGACAGGACTTGATTGATATTTAATGGCTAGAGAACACTATGATTCCTGGAAAACTAAGAGGGATTTATTTCCCCAGAGCCCCAGGATGGGACTTCA